TAACTATCGCACAGAAAACATGATTTGCGCGGCGAGAGTATTTCGAACCCTGCACAACATTAAACACCATGTCGTCCTTCACATCCACAAACCACGCTTCATATTGTTCACTGAATCCACTAGCTACTGATGTTACCGTACCTTCGCTTCAAAATTCGGAACTCCAGGTGGGAAAGGAAATTGGTCCGACCAAGACGTCACAAACAGATTGGACAGCTTTAGTGCTAAGCTTTTTATATATGGCCCCCCTTTTTTGTCGCTACCGCCACCAAAATGGTGAAATGTTGGAGAAATGGGTACAGACTGGCCAATTTGATACTGTCTTACCCCCACCAAAAGATCTGCTTGGAGATTAGTTAAACAGTTCCTAGATTCACCATGTATCGCAAACTTTGATGTTCAATCGTTGGAATCGTGCACCAAATCTTCGCCTGATTGAACTTTTTTTTTTATTCCGAAACATGTAATCACAAGACGTGGTGACGACACACTCAAGTTTTGTCAACTTGACACTCAATTGACACTCAAGTTTTGTCAACTTATATTAATGCCGACACCAACACGGGGACAGTACAATACTCATTTACACCTGAGCGAAGTGAGGAAAGTCGTGTAAAATGCCTTTCCCAAGGGCACAAGATCGGTGGCATGTCAGGACTCGAACCCGGGGCCTCTGGTTCCGAGTCGAGAACGCTGCCGCTGCGCCACACGACCCCCCACATTGAACTTTTTGAAACTGAAAGCCGATTACATCCTACTGCCAAAATAAATATTGCAGTTGCTCAACTTCAGGGAAAATATTAATAGTAATACGCTATTCACACGGCAACGTTAGCCTGGTTACCAGACCTGTTCTAGCTCTCGAGTTTATATCCTCTCCGTAAATTGTTATTTGCGGATAGGATATAGTTTCGGGAGCTACATGTGTAATAGGTCTGGTAACCAGGCTATTAAGGCCACGCCTCCAGAGACGCACGTTACACAAGCGCTGATGACCACCGCATGGTCCAATTGCACGTCCCGAGCTCCAACATAGAAGGGGGGCCGCAAGCCCTTTTCAGTAGAGTGCAATCGGCCGTTTTAATTCTACGTAGAGCGTAGACGGACCGCTCTAATATTTTTTGCGTAGAGCGTATTCGGCGTTTTAATTCTACGTAATGCGTTGTAGCCACTTGGAATTCATCGTAAAGCGTAATCGAGAGGTTTCCAAATTAAGCGTAGGGCGTTGTCGGGACCCCCCCTTGCAGGCCCTCCTAGAAACATCTTGAGACGATCTTAGAGCAGATCTGCTAACTCTCGACGTGCTTTATTCTTACATCGGAAGCATTCCGATAAGGTAAGACTTGTCCATGATTTACTGTTTAGCAGAAGCTAGCGTCAAAAAGTTTCTATCAGAGTAGACGTTGCGCACGGCTGCAGCAGTCTTAAAGGCATCCAATGCAATTTCAGTGCGGCAAAACTGGATTTTAAAAACTCAATGTTCTGGTCATTCTTTTAATGTAGTAAGTTGAATCAATGAATCCTATCATAAGTATTATCAATAGAAAATTGAATGACGGTCATGATAACACTTCCATTTTAGGTTAAAGGTCAAAATTAGACAGTTCCATTCTATTTATAGGGGAGTTCTCTTGTAAAATGCATGGTGGGCTTTCTTTTTGTTCTTTTTGTGTTACACTATTTTTGATACATTAGAGACTGAAAATCTGTTGATATTGCTGATAAACTGAATATGCATATTTGCGTTTTGAACACGTAATTAACTGCTTTATGACATCTACTTTTCATTTTTTTATCATCTTTGTACGATTCGTTACCGGTACACCTGTGACTTTGTGATTTATTTACCTATTTGTACACAGTTGTTTGTTTTGTTTGTTTGTTTCGCATAACCGGTAAACCGCCTTTAGGCGTAACACACCAGTTTTGTACATGTACAAGCTGCGTATTAATAAAGACCGGACTGTAAGGTTTGAACCACTCACACCGGGAAGATCCCCTACTCTTTTCGATAAGTGTGGTGGGTTCTTTAACGTGCATGGGGCGTGGCTCTCCCAAACACGGGACCTCCATTTAACGTCCTACGTCCCTAACCGAAGCTAGCTATATATATATAGGTACTCATTTCCACCTGAGTGAAATGAGGAAAGTCGTGTAAAGTACCTTTCCCAAGGGCACAAGATCAGTTCGAACCCGCGACCTCTGGGATGTGAGCCGAACGCGCTACCGACTGCGCCACACGACCCCAGTAAGGGTTATTACCTTATATAGGATGAAATTAAATTTATCTATAGCATGAAATGTAACAAATTCTGTTGAGCAAGCGGAGAGAAGGTTGAACAGCTTTGTACATAATTGTGCGTTTATCGTTATATAGTGTCCAAAATAAATTGTTGTTCGTCTTCAATATCATTGGATAGACAAAACCTCTGGTCGATGGCGATTTTTTTATATCTTTCTAATTCTATATTCAATTTAAAGAACGTCAAAATTATGTGTTTCAGCAAGGTAATTTTCTTGTCCGTATCTCTTCTTTATACATGACACGGTAGCTGCCGTGTGCATGTACATGTAATATGATACAATGGTGGGTTGGGGACCGAGCTTTCAACACGTCCTCCTCCGCGTGTGGAGCGTCTAAAAGAGTCTTCATCTTCATCTTCATCTTTGCCAGGGCTCTAAGATGTTGTACGAGCCCCGGCTACACCCCCATATAGCCCCTATTGGGGCACTTTAGGGGGGGGGGAGAGGCCTTGGTCTAAGGCGGGCAGGCCTCCAGAGTCCGGTCTAAAAAAAACATGGGACTACAAAAGCAATGTCTGAATTCATCATAATTTCCCTTCCATCAATCCAGTGTAATATAGAAAGAAATCTGAGATAAAAACTTATTACTGACAGGATTAGATTGGACGGTTGCAGCATCCGAGCTAAGGTCAGACGTATACACTTTTCCGTATAGCGTAATCGGCCGTTTTAATTCTACGTAGAGCGTAGACGGACCGCTCTAATATTTTTTGCGTAGAGCGTATTCGGCGTTTTAATTCTACGTAATGCGTTGTAGCCACTTGGAATTTATCGTAAAGCGTAATCGAGAGGTTTCCAAATTCAGCGTAGGGCGTTGTCGGGACCCCCCCCCCTGCAGGCCCTCTTCCATTCCTGAGTATTAAATGTATTGCGCCAGTATACTTCTTTAAAATGTGTGATGTGAGAATATCACAGAACATCATCATTCAATAATCACTTTGTACCATTTATACAATAAATTGAAAAGCCAACAAACAGATGACAGCTACTGTACAATAAAATACATGTTGTTCAAAACTTTAATTAAGTTTGCTTTTACATATCTTTGATTTTTGTTCACTAAGAATCATAAAAGTGTACATGACAGATTGTTAGCTATAGTCTGATGTGATTGACAACATCACCTGCACCCACCAGCGAGAATCGGAGGTCATTTACCATTCACCAATTTCACACTTCCCATAATGCCTAGTAACGGTCACGGATATGACGTAAGACCATCCCCCTCCCCCTTCCTCCATGTAATATTTCCAACAAATTCTATCGACAAACTGGTCAACTATTGTTTTGAATTATCTATCTAGTATAGAGCACATAATTGCATTTTTGTTGGAATTAGAGAAAACTAGAGTTCCCCTATCTCATACCTTCGCCAAATGATGTTAATCTTTATGACTGACAAATTATAGATTATATTATTCCCCCCTGATTTAAGAAATAGGAACCTAATTTTCATGAATTATATCATTTTATGATAATCTCAACCAAAAAACAGTCTTATATTAACAAACAATGCATTCTAGCATTTCCTAATAAATTATGCAAATGAGGCCCTGATTTGAATAAATTATGTTTAATGATGTTCACCTCAATTTAACTTTCAAATACCACAAGTATGAAATTCCAGGCAGTTATCATTACATAATTATAAAATTTTCTCACTAATTATGCAAATTAAGTCATTATTAACATAACCAATACCTTCCTGTGTTTCTCTCGTTGTCAATTACCAATGTCACAAGCTTTAATTGTCCTATTATTGAATGCAGCTGATCTATATAATTTCTCCATAAATTATGCAAATTACATCAATATTTGCACAATTGTCACATAATTATATTAAGCATCACGTAAGCTACCTACATACCAAAAATCACGACGATCCGTCAACCGGTTCTTGAGTTATCCCCTTTTGAATATTTTCAAGAATTTATCCCTGCAGTTCCAGAGCAAGCCGCTAGGGGGCCTAAACTCACGTCACTTCTTCCCCAGCACAAGAGCTACCTACCATCTAAATTTCATCACCATAGCATGTCTAGATCATGAGATATCAAAGCCGGAATTTCAGCTGCAGTACCATAACAAGCCGCTAGGGGGTCCAAAATCTAATCATTTTGAGGTCTCATCAAGACCTATCCACCTACCAAGTATCAAGACGATCCATCAAGGCCGTCTTAAGTTATCGTGTTGACAGACAGACAGACACACACACACACACACATATACACGAACGCCCCTGAAAACATAACCTTCTTGGCGAAGGTAATGACGTACCTTCTATCGTTCCACCTTCTACTATACCGAAGACTCTTCTATTCGCACGCATTACCGAGTAGGAGAGTCTTCGGTAGAAGGTGGAACGATAGAAGGTACGTCATTTTCTCTAATTCCAACAAAAATGCAAAAAACACAAATGAAAGAAACGCCATCCATGGCTGTCCACCATTCTAGTTTTACCACGTGATTATCCTGAGTTGTCTGTGCGACTAGAACATCGGTCATATCTTTGTAATAACACGTCTAGTTTCCTTAATATTGGCGCTTCAGCATATTTAGTTTCCTTAATATCTTACATGGATGTCTTCTCTCGACAGAAATTGAAATTTTGCCCAAAAATTTATCCGAGCAGTACAAAAGTTTTTGCACGCAAGACTGCGTCTTCAAAATATATATCACTGTCCAGAGCATAAACCGGTCTCTCTACATGTTGAATATGCATGAAGCTAGTCTATTGTTTAACAGCATCACAACAACCTCTGTACATGTAGAATATGGGGCATGTGTCGCCTGGAGGGAGCGAAGAATATTTCTTTAACAAGTGAAGACATCTGATGCAAGCAGTTGAAGCTACACCATGAAGCTGTTTGTCTGCACACTGCTTGTGACGATCGTTGTCGTGGCGATGCTGATTGAGGACAGCGAAGGGCTTTCAGGGTGGAGGAGGAGGAGGAGGAGCCGACGGTCCGGGCTCGACAGTCGATCTAACCTCCCCGTCAACTTGGACGAAGGTAGGTTTGAACCACTCACACCGGTAAGGTCCCCTACCCTTTACGATAAGTGCGGTGGGTTCTTTAACGTGCGTGGGGTGTGGCTCGCCCAAACACGGGACTTCCATTTAATGTCCTATCCGAGGGACGTCCCTAGCTGAAGCTATGTACTAATTGTACAACTGAGTGATGTTAGGAAAGTCGTGTAAAGTGCCTTTCCCAAGGGCACAAGATCGGCTTCGAACCCGGCACCTCTTGGTTCCGACCCGAAGACGCTACGAGTTTTTGAACACCTCAATTCTTGGTTGATAGGTTTGTGAGAGAGGCCGAGGGGGCCTGTATATAGCACTTCAGTAGAAGGTCGTTTTTGTGCAGATAAGGTTAACACTCCATCTGTAGTTTCCAATTGCCATGTCGGATAACATAAGGTCTGCAACTGACAAAATTCTGATGCAACGCTGACCAAAAATCCAACAAAAACCGTGAAAAATGGGGGCGCAGGCGCAGTACGTTCTGCCGATGTGCTGGCCTATATGCCCTTTTTCGTAAGGTGTAATCAGGTCTTTTAGTCTTTCTAATCCGTAGGCAGCCTTCCCAAAAATCAACTTATTTGTAATTGTACATTAGCCACAAAGCTTATCAGCTCTGAGCCTTTAACATAATTCGTAATCAGCTACGAAAATGCTGTGTGATTCGTAATCACCCCCCCCCCATGCAGGCCCTCTTAAAGGCATCCAGTGTCGTTTTTAGGACCAGGTAACCAGACATCAATATTCTAGTCACTTATCTACATACTAAATTGAAGTTGAAACCACACAGTCCCAATGTATATCGACGTTCATATGAGCAAAATTGCTCAAAATTCTGACGAAAGACGATTACTGGAAGGACCTGAATTAATTTTAGGACACCACCTAGAAAATAAAGGACAGCTTGTTTCTGCTGTTTTAAATACCTAAAGTATCATTTAATATCGATTCAAATGTGCTCATGTGGGATAGTATTTGTCAATATCTTACAGATTGCCTTATTATTATATTAAGAATTTTTTACCGTTCTGAAATTGCATTGGATGCCTTTAAACTATAACGATTTTGCCAAGTTTTGCTTCACAACTCAACCGTGACGCTAGCTCTTATGATTGTAGTTCGGGGTTGATTCGAACTGATCCTTTCTAAAACTAAGCCTTATCAGACTAGTGCGATTTCTGGGCATTAAAACTTATCAGACTAGTTACCTACTGACATTCCATTTGAACTAAACATCTGGGTTCGAAGATGAAGAAATAGAGGATAAAAGGTACACATATGGACAGGGATACACATCATAGTTACATGTACAAAGACATTTAGTCATTATATGGGAATGCGCCTTAGGCTAGGCTTTTTCCAAACAGTTGTTTGAGAACCGCTCAACTACAGTGATCAGCCTGTGACACATAGAGAAATAGAATACAACATGTCCACAGTTTAAAGGCCACAGTTTAAAGCTTTCTAGTTAATGATGCCCTAACTGTGCTTGGTGGCAACGAGTTTCACTCTACTACGGTAGTTCTTGGGAAATACGAGTTTTTGAACACCTCATCAGTTCTTAGTTGATATTTGAAGGCATGACTGTTTCTTGTTCTTTTGCCCATCCTTCATATAATACAGGGCCAGAGCTGAGGGAGGTGTTGGAAGAGGCAAGGGACCTCCTAGACAGTCTGATGGAGAAACAGGAGCAACTGGAAGCACGGGAGCTCCAGATGGATCCGGAGGAGGAAGATTGTAAGAAATCTCACTTTTTGCTCCTTTTTCCTTGCAGGACATGCCCGTATCCAGCAGGCGGAGCTCGGTCGAACCCCCCACAAGGCTCAAAGGTCCACTTTTTGGTCCACATTTTATCTAAAGGTCCAATATTTCTCTTTAAAAGATGAACTGATTCTTATCACCAGCGGGCTGGAACCGTATACGTAGAAAAACTTCTCACTTTGTCATTGAATAAAAAGCTATCTCTGATTTTTTTCTTTGAAATCCCACTTCAAAAGGTTCGTTTTTCAAAATTTTCCCGGGGAGCATGCCCCTTATTAGGAACCTCGCGCCTGCGGCGCTCGCTGGTCCCTCAACCAGTGGGAAGAATCCTCCCATTCAAAATCCTGGCTACGGGCATGCAGGACAGCACTATTAATGTATATGTTAGGCTTATTGATTTATGGCAACTGTGCATGATATTGGGACATAACAACTTTTTTTAGCATGACAGAGTAAAGAGTTATTTAACTTAGGATGTTTGTTACTGCAAAGTCTGTTGTTAGCCTCTAATTCTTGCTAATTATCTACTTATTCTGATCAAACCCTTTATTCATTATACTCTGCCATACGTGTTGCTAAGGAAAGAAATCTGATTAACATGTTTTTTAAGTGCAAGAAATCTGCAGATAGGACACTGCTTCAAGATTTTATTCCCGGCCTCAACGCCTTTTTTTCTCTTTCCCTTTTTCTCTTTTTTTACTATAGTTTGTGTGTATTTCTTTGTTACCTCCGGGGGAGGAGATATCCTTCCGCGGAAGGGTTTTGTGAGAGATTTAGATTTCCATGTTTTGGTGGTCCCAAAACACCGCTTTGAGCGTGAAAGTGGTCGCGACCGTTGACCTTTGGCGTGTTAAGCTATTCTCGGTCTGGTCCACGTATATGACCCCTCACACAGAGGGGTGTCCGGTCTCGATAAATTCTTTGTTTAAAACCCTATATAAAAATATACAATAAAAAGCCCGGAGGTATGAAATCTCAGATTTTACTTGTTTAAGCTTTGCGAATTGTCCTTTTTTACAGATACCCGAAAGCGACGCTAAGTCCTGTAACCAGCGCAGCCTAACGGATGAACTGAAGACTGGAGTTTTCAGTGGCATTAAAAAGGCTGGACTGGACGCTAGGTTGATGAGTAAATCGTGTAAACGCAGTGTCTTGTAATGATCCTTATCCATGTATGCAGGATTTTTTTTTTCTTGTTGAGTTTCCATTTTACAGTCCGCCTTATACCTCACAGTCACTTACCTCACATTGATATACGATCAACCATTTCGAAGTTACAAACTTTATAGGGGTCAACAAGGATACTGTGTACACGGAGTTTATTCAATAAAACCTACTGGACAAATCATGAATAAAATGGTTTTTATTTGCATTATTCATTTTATTTAGCTCATACCGGTGAAATTAACAAACTTTGGCCAAACTGGGAAAGCTTAGAGCCATTCTCAGTTATTTGTGTTTGTTACCTTTTCTTTAAAAAGAACACCCACTTTTTGATACTCACTTCTTGTTAAAGGTATATTCTTGATAATATAACTGATATAGAAAATTAAGGACAACCTACACTCTATGAGTCCATCTCCTGTTATTGGCCAGCCTACATGTTTTCCCTTTTTTTTTTCATTTTCTTCTGTGTGATAAAGATTTCCAGTTCTTTGCCACACCGGGTGACCTAAATTTGTTTACCGCTTCTTCCTGACTCAAAGCGACCTGTTCCTGACTATTGGCGTCTTTTGTTTTGTTGAGTCCCCCCCCCCCAGTTATTTTTTGAGTGATGACAGCGTCCATTGTTTATCCATAATTGCCCCACTTTATTTGCTACCACCCCTTTGTCTCTGACTACATTGGTGTGGGAGGCCACCAAATTCCGCCATGATTGGCCCTTCTGTAGGAAGCGCCACTTTCAGAGTCATCATGGCACTCTGTTGGTCCTTTTTCTTTTAAATCCGAACTCTGCTTCTTTGACAATAAAGTTAATGTCATCCCTTCTGTCCATAAACATTGTGTGGTAAAGAAACACTAGAAATGTTTGAACAGAAAACACAGTGCACACCATCTACAATAAAGAAATGAATAAAGACTGTAATTTTCTCGGCCGCCCAGTATACTGCCCCAGGGTGTGAGCACGTCCCTTGTTAAGATGGAAAAGCAAATCACGGCTTGAATATTTACATAAGATAGAAAATACATAAAGTTTAAGTATAATGTTAGCACAGGCCCTAACTACACTGCTACTTGCACTGGAACTGTCAGTGGTAGTCTCTACCAGACTAACTACGCTGGCTATACATAGGAGAATATTTGCCAGGGGAGTTTGGCCGCCTTGTACTAAGTTGTAGGTTTGACTGGCCGCGCAGAAACTACCTCCCCGCGACCGGACTCCCTTGGCCAATTTTACTCTCTTTTTTTGCCCGGAATTCTACGATCCTTATTCCCGTAGAAAGGCCTGGTGGCTAGTACTGTGGTACGAGTAAAGTCAAAGATTATGTGCACCCTTCCAATTTCACTTGGGAATGTTTGCCTCGGTGCGAATTAGGACCAATCACAACAGGCCAGCTTTGGTTATTTATCCCATTTATTTAGTACTGAAAGTATTGTCTTTAAAAAACGTGCTAACTACTTTTACACAGTATAAATATAGGTAAAAATTCTATCCCATTATACCACCAAAACTTTTCTATATGGTTCTCTCCTCTGGCCAACGGATACTGTCTTGCCACCGAAAGATCTGCTTGGAGATTACATACTAGTACCTCATAACAAAAGTATATACTAGTACCTCATAACAAAAGTTTATGCTTAACCCTATCTAGACCGGGGGGGGGCTAAAAGTGCCCGCGGCAACTTTGATGTCACCTAGCGTCTGAACGGCTTGCCGTAGAACGGCCAAACTTGGTGACTTTTCCTAGAATATTGTTGGCAACAATTCTCTATCATTGGAATAAGATAATAATTTTTTGTGTTGCCATGGCAACGGGTTTCTGACAGGCATTTTTTGCTAAATTTAGTACTTTTTGTTTCAACAATAGAATTTTATGGGTTTTATGTCAAGTTACTCATTGTTTCTAATATGGAAAACATACCATATAATTTTATGTAAATTTTATCATTAAATCTGCATAATTTATGCTAATTTGATGACGTCATTGGCCAAAATCCAAGATGGCGGACCATATCATTAGAACAGGTATATACAGGTTATTTTCATTAAAATTTCATCAATACTTCCATTTCTTTTTCCAAAAAAAGGTTTAAATGAAGGTCTTTAGTATGTTTACAATGTATTTTAGGCTTTATCATGAAAAAAAACTATTTTTGAAAATTCAAGATTGATGATCCAAGATGGCGGATATTTTAAATATGCATGACGTCATTTTATGACGTCACCGGTGTTGCTATGGGCAACATAAGACTTAGTACACCATAATATTCTGTCATAAACACTTTTGGTACAGTTATGTTGAATACCATTTAGTTTTCAGGGAAAAACCTATTTAGACGGTTTTGGCCAATAAAATCACATGAATGACGTCATAATGACGTCATATTACGTCATAACGACATACACATTGTAGATATGATA